TTAGGGCATCGCTCTCTATTGAGGAGAGAAGGCGACGCAGGGAAGAACGCTCGCATCGTGCAGATGGCAGTCATTCGCATAGTGTTTTATCTAATTCTAATTCTATGTCACAAACTATGCCTGTTTCTCAGGGAAACTGAGTTTCAGTCCTCGGTCTGATATTCCTTGCAATCTTGTAAAGGATTCAAACTTCAATTGTTTTAGCATGTCTGTTTTTTATTGTAATATCAGGTCGTTACCTAAAAACGGAAGTTTCCTTGATCATATCACTACGAATAGGTATGACTTATATCTTTTGACCGAAACTTGGTTAAAAGCCCACCATTCTATGACGTCTATGCTCAGTCATTGGATCAAAGAGTTTGCTGTGTTGAGGTGTGACAGAAGTCTCAGAGCCGGCGGTGGAGTGTCCATGATTATAAGAAACACGCTCAATCATACAACCATATTATCAGAATCGGTTCCAAAGGGGTATGAAATCCTAGCAGCAGACATCGCTTCAGCCGAATTTCGTTTCAGGGTTGTCTTGGTTTACAGACCTCCCTCCTCCACTCCTTCGCTTTCTGAGCAATTGGCAAAGGCAATTAGTGATCTTTCTACTGTATCATTTCCAGTCTTAGTAGTAGGTGACTTCAACATGCCCGAAGTCAACTGGGCTGGGGATTCTTGGAATGAAAGTTCTCATCCACTTGCGGTTACACTTGCACTGCATGGATTCAAGCAGTATATCAAAGAGCCCACTAGATGCAACTCTATTTTGGATTTAGTTTTCTCGAATGATCATGAACTCTTAAGCAAAGTATCTGTTAGTTCTCCAATTGGTCATAGTGACCATTTTAGTATCTCCTCAGAGATTTGCTGCCGTCCGTGCCGATTTTGAAAAGGCTTTTCACAAATTGTGACTATACTCATGTTACAAACTACCTTTTCAACATTTTGTGGATCGAATCGTTTGAAACAGTATCTACGGTTGACGAGAAATATGTTATGTTCCTCCCTATACTTCAAGTTGCTATAGAACAATATATTTCTTGAGCTTACGTTCTCCTAAATAAGTCCAACTTACCCGTCTACCTCCAGAAAATGTTAGAACATAGAGAATGTCTTCTGCAATATGCAAGACTCAGCGGTGATTGAACTGGATACAGAAAGTTTTCCTCTACATTTTTGGATAAAATAGCAAAGTTTAACAAAAGTGTTGAAAAGAAAATAGTTGAATCGAAAGAAGGGCATCGTTTCTTTGGATTCATGAGACCTAGACTTCGTTCAAAAACACAGTTCACTGGTCTAAAATCTGAGGGGCGATTACGTTTGAAGGACACTGACAAGGCCAATGCTTCCGCTGCTGAGTTTCAGAAATCGTTTTCAAATGATGATGATAGACTGCCGCCATTTGCACCGCCATCAACTATTTACGCAATGGATACGTTCCCTTACTTTGATCCCAAGGGCATCTATGATACCTTGATCTATGATACCTTGGTCGAATGTTCTGCTCATCTATGATACCTTGGTCAAATGTTCTGCTCCTTTCTCTGTTACCCTGGACCATATCCCACTTGCATTTGTCAAAAACGTAGCCCATGCTATTGCGTTCCCTCTTTCACATTTATTTAACCACTCAATGATTGTGGAAACATTCGTACATAAATCCCATTCTGAAATAACCACCTTCTTGGGCATCTCCAACTACAGACCGATTAGTACCACCTCATTGTTCTGCAGACTTTTGAAGAGTTACTTACACGTCACACTCTTCGCCATTTGGAGTCGAACGAAGTAGTTTCCTCTTTGCACATG